AATTCTTTTTCTGATTCATCGTGATATTCTGAAATAATTTTTTGCAATATGATATTAAAATGCAAATATCTGTACTAAATCTTTCATTTATTGATTGATATCATGAGTTATTGAAGACAGCTCCACAAAAGCTGGTTTTTATGTAACTTTTATTCATGGCATTTTATTTCTATAAGTAGCCTTTATTTCTATCATAAAAACTGAACAAACTGTGGATGCCATAAATCAGAAACAAAAACAGAAATTGCTGGAAAAGCTCTGTAGGTCTGGTAGCATCCATGAATATGAACATTTTCCTAGCTACCATCAGTTCTGAGGAAGTGTCAATGGAACTGAAACATTAACACTGACTTCTCGTCAAAGATGCTGCCAGACCTGCTGAGCTTTTCCAGTAATTTCTGTTTTGTTTATTTTTGTTATGTTTAGTGTTTTCTTATGACATAGATCTTGAACCACACAGGCTTCTACTTTAGACACATTGCATGATGCTACAATGTGTGCCATTCAATCTAGGATTCAGTCACTCTCTATGTAATATAGTCAGCCAGATGTGTGATATAAAGTTGCATCAGTAAGTACAAAACTATGTGAGTGAGTATGTAATATCAAAACCTTGTAAATAGCTAGTGTGAACAAACTTCAAGATATCACACTCAACAGTATCCAATAAATCTGTGATATTTGTTACGTGGGCTTAAGTGAATCTTGCTACAGTGAGCAATACGTTGGGAGGGTATGGGCCTTTGTGCAGGAGGCTGCTTATCAATCTCTCAGGCGTGCAAAACTATAAGCAATTAATTTATTGCAAACATTCTTCATGGTGGAAAGCTTATTTTATGTATTTAATTGTCCACTTGCGCATAATTTAAATACAAATCAATGTGTTTTCTGGCTTCCCAATTTTAATGAAGGTCACATGCTTTTTGAGCCATCAGTAACTTTCCCAGTAAGAGCAGACAATTGTGAGAGTCCTTTGCATGTGGAGGAGACTGGGTCACACAAACTCAAGGCATTTTGAGGTGAGCTGAGCTGATGATGAGGGACCGAGAATCACTCAAAAAAATCCAAAACACTTCCCACATTCTATAACTTAAATTGGAAATGCACAGTGTGAAGGGACTATCCCTTAAAGTTCTGGAGGAGATGCACAGTTGGACTGTTAAATCTCAGACCTCATTTAAACCTGTTGATGCCACAGAATGACCTGGTTGAAGAAACTTCTCCCTGGATTTTGGAAAGTCTTTCTGTGTCATAGAAGCAGAAAAACAGATGATAGCTATTTAAGCTACAATGCTTTCTTAAATAGCTGCAATATAAGTTCCAATGCTAACACAGGGCTGGCCACCCTTTAAATATGTACAGGCAGCTACAACTGTCTCTGAGGTTGAGGAGGTGGTGGGCAGACAATATGTACAGAAATGTTCCCCTGAGACTAAATAATATGTATGCCCCAGTGGTAAAGAATGAACAGCTGGCCATCCTTCAGCAGCTCCCACTGCTGCTGGTTACATCCAAGCCGGTCATTCTGGCCAGAGACTTCAACTATATCAATGATGCGGATGGATAATCCAGAGGGGCTGGCAGCAAACTGGGTTTCACATCCAGATTCCTGATGGAAACAATTAAAGATGCCAATCTGCACAATGTCTTCAGCACCCCTGCAGCGAACACAACATAGATACACCTGGTTATGCCCTTACAGGTTTGTCCGCTGAAGGATAGATTTCCTGTTTGCATCCTGTATATTCTCCATCAGATCCACCAACATCAAACCTGTATTCTCTGATCACTGCCTCTTGCTGGCTGACTGTCATTTACAGGAGAACCAGTGGGCCAAGAAGGAAACATGGATGTTGAACATGAAACTGTTGACCCCAGTGCACATTGAGGAGCTCAAAAGGGATTACACAGGTTGGAGAACTGTGAAACCCCTCTTTGAGTCTCCAGCAGACTGGTGGGAAATGGTTCAACAGGAATATCAAGAGGTTCTTCATCCTCAAAGCTGTTCAGAAGGTGAGAGGGAGACGGGTAAAATTGTCCAAACTTCAGGAAAGCCTGCAGAATCCAGTCCTACTGCAGACAATGGGGATCAATGTCATGAAGGATCTCCAGGAGGTGAAGAGCCAGCAAACCTCAGGGACCTTCACGATAATCTTCCAGTCCAGGGTCCACACCGTGGAGCAGGATGAGACGTGTTCGTGCTTCATCTTCCAGAAGGTGCACAAGGAAAGCTCGGTAATATCATCTCAGTCTGACAGCCTGAGGATAAGCAATTCCTTTCATACCAGAATGTATGACATGATGTGCACAGACAATGTGGCCTCCCAGTCATTCCTGCCGTCTATCACGGGAGGTCTTAGATGATAGCATGCAGCAGAGGCTGGACCAGCCGTTATCTCTGGACGAGCTGACCAAGGCCCTCAAGCCCTTAGAAAAGAATAAAACTCTCAGGGGAAACAGTTTACCAGTTGAGTTGTATTCAGCGCTTTGGGACTTGATGGTGAGGACAGTGTGCTTCTGGCAGGTAGCATGTGTGAATCTGAGGAAAGGTATCATCACCCTCATTTACAAGTGAAGGGGGAGAGGGAAGAAATTAGAAATTGGCGACCAGCTTTACTGTTGAATGTGGATTACAAAATCTTGTCTAAGGTCATTGCCAACTGGGTCAGGTCTGCTGTGGAGTCAGTGATTCACCCCAAACCAAACCTTGCTGTACCTGGCAGGGTGATCTCTGAGGCCCTCACGCTCCTCAGGGGTACAATCGCCTACGTGCAGGACAGAGGGGTGGACACCTGTCTCGTCAGCCTGGACCAGGAGAAGGCCTTTGACAAGATATCGCACACGTGCATGAAGGATACGGGCTCCAAAGTGTGTTTTGGGGAGGGAATCCACAATTGGATCCGATTGCTGTACACCAACATTTTTACTGCAGTCTCAATCAATGGATGGGAATCAGAAAGCTTCCCGATCAGATCTGGAGTCAGGCAGAGCTGCCGACTCTGTCCTGCCTTGTTTGTATGTTGTATAGACCCCGTTGCTGAGCCCATCAGGAAGGATGCGAGCCTGAGAGGGGTGACTATTCCAGGCAGCGGAGGCCTGCAGATCAAAGCCTCCTTCTACTTGGTTGACATCGCTGTTTTCTGCTTGGACCCACCATCAGCACGCAGTTTGAATTGGCCTCGGGAGCCAAGGTAAATCAAGCAAGATCGAGGCCGTGGCCTTTCAGACTGGAGCTGACTGATCCTTTATTCCCTTCACCCAGGACAGATTACCTGAAGGTGCTGGGAATATGGTTCGGAGGAGATTTGGCGTGTGACAAAACTTTTGAAAAGCATGTCACCAAATTGAGGCAGATTCTGGGCTTATGGGAGCAGCGCTCCTTCTCCATTGCAGGTAAAAACCTGATCATCAGGTGTGAGGTACTCTCAGTGCTGAATGCAGCTCAGGTCTGGCCTGTTGCCTGAGTCCCCGAGTCGCTGATTACAGTGATCCGAGCCAGCTTCCACATCATCTAGAGGTCAAAGATGCTCTGTGTCCGAGGGGACACCAAGTATAAAGCTCTGAACAAGGGGAGCAAAAACTTACTCATCCTGATGGCCACCTTTGTGTGTGGCTGCATCAAGCTGTGCGTAAACCTTTGAAATACAAACTCCAAGTGTCACTATGTACCGACGTTCTACCTGTCCCCCCCATGTTATGAAGGATGGGTCTGGCCTCGTTACCGTGTAACACTCCAAGCAGTTGGACTACTGTGTATCATCTGTCCCTTGTGGAAAAGTAATATTTGCAAAGGAAAATACCTTTGACCACAATTCGATCAGAAAGTGGTCAGAACGTAGACCCCACAGGAAAAGGCAAGGATGGGTCCTCTCGAGTGGTTCACTGAGCAGACTGTCAAAGTCATTTGGCAGAATGCCACATCGCCCGAACTTTTCAATGAGCACCAAGACAGCTTGGCTGGTTGTGAGAAGGGCATCACCCATCAGATCCTTCTTGCACAGCTGGTCTCTGTGTGCCCACCATACGCTGCCCTCGAAGCGGCTGTTCTGGTGATGAAACACATCTCCTACTGAAATATGCCTTTGTCAAAGAAGGTCTGGAGTGCAATGCAATGATTTTTGTTGAGATTCATCCCGAGCATCACCATGGCGCAGGACTCTGTGGTTTACGCTCTATTCCCCAGGGCGCACAGTGAGACAAACATTGACTGTGCCTGGAGGACCATAAACTCGGTGAAAAATGCTCTTTGATCTTAGTGAAACTTGTTGGTCTTCCAGTGTAAGGGGTTGACCCTGACCGAGTGTTGCAAACTGGCAAATTCCAAAGTCCAGGAATACTTGCTCAGAGACAGACTAAAGCTTGGGGCAGCTGCTGCCAACTGGATCAAGAACACACTTGAAGGCCTTGCTGACAAAGTATATTAAAGGTATGTTGAGTTTTGAGATACCTTTGTTACCTTAATGGAAATGTAAATAGTTTTCTTCCTTGTTTAGAAAATGCCTTTTTGTTGCAACTGGATTGAAGCTCTAATGAAGAATGTCAAAATTCCACTATTATTTATAAAGTCTACACTGAACTTTTTTTGGACCTTTCGTACTTAATTTATGAATAATAGATAATTTATGAAAAAAAAGTATATTTTTGGAAAAGAAACTCTGTTTCAACTCAAGAAAATAGGAGATGGCCATTTGCTGGTTCATTTCCCAGGGCAATGCCTTGACCAAGCAACCTGCTGGTTTAAAATTTGAACAAAGCTTTGCAGTTAACTATAAGTCATCATTAACTGGCATATTTTCCAGGTCAAAGCCTCTATCAATCACTGTATAAACAAATCACCATTCGCGTCTTCTACAGCATAATTGCTGGTTTCCCCATAAGTTGATATTCCTGTGAATTATCCCCAAGGCATCTATTTTGACATATCCAATTGTATGTTTAATTTTTAAATATCAGCAGTCAACAACACATGCTTAAATAATCTTACATTTATGTTACATTCATCATGATCAAACTTCATAATTCTGAGGATGTGTCTGTACTACACAGTATCACTCAGAAATCTTTTACCCTCAACCTTACTTTTTAGTTGACTCTTTTAGCTACCAAATATTCTTTTCATACATGCATAATAAAATATCATCTTGAATTAAAGGAAATTATTTAAATTCATGCATTATCATTTTTTAGTTGTCAGACATCGTAGCTCATGCAGAAGATCTGACATTATTGTCAGGCTTGTCAATATTATCATAAAATCTTCAAAGTCTATTCTTTTGTCCTTATCTTCATCAAGGTCGGAAATAATTTCTTTGTATTTTGGCTTCAGTTCCTGTCCCTGGAAAAGAGCAGAATCAGATAATTTGTAATTATGTGGACTTTTTTTGCAATTGGACTTTTTAAATGCTTCTCTTCACAGAGTGTTGCATTTCACATTTTAGAAGGCTGCACAATCAGACTTGCAGTTACTGTTCCTGAAAATATCACTCCTGGTCTAGTAATCAAGATGACTTTTCCTTCCTTCATTTGGTTACCATTTCACCGCCAAACGGCTTATCACTATCAGATTCAGATCAAATTATGAATGTCCATCTAGTAATATGGCAAATGTCAGCAAAATGGACTGTGATTTGATCTGTAGCATGCAGAACATTAGAATTGTGGTCAATGGCTGACCACTTGCTTCGCTTTTAAGGTTGCACAGAAATAGAACTATGTAAATTGCAAAATATTGCAGATGCTGATAAAGACTTCTCCATAAAGTAGCAACAAGGCAATATTTAGCCCACAACTGGTGAACTCCTTTCAGGAAAATAAGAGTTAAAATGAGTTAAATTAAAAATACCTTCACTTTATTTGCATTTATTGCCCAGGATTTATTGTCACCACTTTTAAGAACCTTTTTAGCTGTAAATTATAACATATCATAAGAATTGTATAAGTTTTCATTTATTTAAGAGCCCCATGGACAATGTTAAATTATTTAATCCATGTGAAGGCATTTTAATTTGGGATTGTCAGGGCCATTTCATAGTTACAGTGTACAATTTTGCACTGGTGCTGCTCAAAAACAATATGCAATAGTATCAGAATGTTATACACTGAGCAAACAATCACACAACTTCCTCACTGAGCAAATAATATCCTGTGCTGAAAGTGTCTGTTCTATGCATTAAAGCACTGAATTGTGTAGTCGCCCACACTATATTTGCGTAGATAAAGGTCTCTGCACATGCTTATCCCAGCCTGTTTCATTTAGCTTTGTAACCTAGTGATCTGAAGGCAAATTATTGAAACATAATTGTACTGTTTAAATCAAAATTTAATTACTTTCTGGGATTTTTACATATGTCTATTTGAACATTTTTGTCATTAGTCACATCAATAAGACGAAAAGAATCTTCAAATCTATTTTTATTCTTCAATGTCAGAAATATTTTTCTTATATGCAGATTCCTGGCTTTTATGCAATTGAAAAATTGTTGTTGCAATGTAAATTCACACTCAAGTGGCTGTTGAAGCTGGGATTGCAGGACCCAACAAATATCATTATTTCGCTTGATGTTCTAAAGAAAAATGGGGGACTGGCATTTTGGATCATTGCAAACAAGACTTCACAATATTAACTTTAATTTTTTTAAGAATTACATCATGACCATGAATTTTTGAATTTTAAAGAGACAGATCAATTATTTGTTGTTTGAATTATTTTCAATTACGTGGCTGTGAAAAAATGCAATTAACTGTACCACCAGTGATATGGATAATAATCTGATTTCCCCTGAGGTTTTAACAAAATGCTTGAAAAATTTATAATTGGATTCATTCTTGATCTTTAATTGCTTTGAAGAGCTTTTTGAATAAATTGCCAATGTGGGCAATAGTTGTTCCCAACATAATTGTAGTCTAGAACTACACTAATTGTTTTGCTTTGGTCTATTTTTGAAGCGACACCTAACAATAATTAGAATGGCATTCAGCATTTTAGAAGAGATTGAGATTTGAGCTCATTGCAAGGTTAGATCATCTTCTAAACTGAGGATAAAACTAAACGGATGAAGTAAAGCTCTTTCTTGTAGTAATCCATTCTAACTTGCAATTTCTAAACCAAAAGTGTATATTTTTTAAACATGAAACTTTAATATTCCAGACATAAAAATAATTCGAAACCTGTTTTATTCTAATAGAGATTCAAGTCAGATATATACAAAGATCTCAGACATATGTAATGTACTCTTTTCTTACAGAAAATATTGATGTCTCAAATATGACATTAAAATTACTGATGGAGCATAATTTTTGGTTATGCATTTCTTTTTGCATACTAAAAAGAGAGCTCTTAACGTTTGCATGGTTTGTTTGTTATTCCATTTGGGAACCATTCACTTTGCAACTATATCATTTTTGAGTTATTTAATGATCTTATATGTAGAAAACAACATGGTAGGCAGAACTTTATAGACTGAATGACATACGTAAGAGTGAAAAAACATGGCAGGGTTGCGTGAAAAGTCCAGTGAGGCCCTATCTCGATGTCAAGAGTAACTCATGGCATCTTTTAATTAAGTTCCAAACGTCATGGCGAGATTGTCATTAGGGAGTTATAAGGTGCCTATTGAGGGAGATTATTTAGAATAACAGAATCCCTACGGTGTGAAAGCGGGCCATTCAGCGCATTAAGTGTGCACTGACTTTCTGAAGAGCATCCACCCAGACCTATCCCATCCCTGTAACCCCGGATTCCCCATGGCTAATCCACCTATCTCACACATCCCTGCACACTATGGGCAATTTAGCATGGCCAATCCACCTAACTTACACATCTTTGGGCTGTGGGAGGAAACCAGAGCACCCGGAGGAAACCCACGCACATACAAGGAGAATGTGCAAACTCCACACAGTCACCCAAGGGTGGAATCAAACCCAAGTCTTTGGCACTGTGATGCAGCAGTGCTAACCACGGAGCCACTGTGCTGCCCTATTTCTTGTTAATGACCTTGTTAACTGTGCATCTCACCTATTATTAGGCTGCTTCCTATCATAAAACCCACTGTGAGCAAACTAGACACTGAATACAGACATGGAGATCTGGGCAGTTACCTGGTGACTTTAGCTCGCTGCTGCTGAGAACAGCCTCCATGTTTGTCACCATGTAACAACACCTTAGGGAATGACCTATGGGCACCAACTGCGTGCACCACTCATCCATGGAATCTGACATCCGGTCATTTCAAACCTTTCAGGAACCTCAGGGAACTTCTGTGATCCACTTATAGCATGTTTTGGAAGCTGAGATGCACTGGTAACTCGGATTGAATAGTTGCTGCAAGGACACGTTGTGCGCAGGGATGGACACTTAGCTCATGTATTGGACCAAACTACATTTCAGGGCTGCTCGCTCCTTCTCTTAGCGGTTGCTCACTTCGTGGAAGCCTGGATGCTCACAGCATCCATGGCATGCCTTGCCTTGCCTTGCACTGCCTATTAGCATAACTACACAACCAGGCAGCTGGCTTTGCTGCTCAGCAGTCCCAGTCACTGGGGCATCATCTTGCTGTGTGCCAGTGTGCTACATCAAGTTCACATCTGCACCATGTGTTAGGAGCTTACATAGCATCACACGGCATGTGCAGTGAGCAGGCAGCCATGTTTCAGTGTTAGGAGAAAAAGACTTTAGTCCAGATCCATGGAGGCACCTATCAGTCAGGGAGTCTTGGGACAGGAGGCCATGGGCAGCCTCTGATACCAGTCCATGGGACTAGCCACAGTCAGATGTCCAATTGTAGTGTTCTCGGTCAGTGAGTGTGTACCTCTGCAATTCAGGAAGTGGGACATGGTAAGTCTTGTGGTACATAGTGGCTAGTCCAGGGGTAGGGTAAATGCATTTTGGGCTATATGCCATCAGTCAGATTTCAGAGCACTTCCACCCAGCTAGATAGCTCAAGCGGTGGGGTTCATAGTCAGTCTATCAGCTCCATCCAGAGCACCCAGAGGAAAGAAGGATGGGGGTGTGATTCAAGGGAGGCCACTACAGCTGGAAGAAGACTTAGGAACTTATCCATGGAAATGGGAGCCACAGAAATTGGTCGTGATCACACTTGGAGTGGGCAGGGTAAGTATCTAGATCTGTGAAAATAGGGGCTGCAAGACCTACTGATGTGAGGCCCTTTAGAGGGCAAGGGCTTTACACACAGACCCGTGCAATATATAGGATACAGACCTGTAGGCTCCCTAATACCCAGCAATCATAGTGCATTGTCTCACTGTGTGCTGTACTTCTCCCTGCCCCAGACATACTGACCACATCATTCAACATGAACACTTTTGCACACAGATGCCAAAGAAATAGCAGGGATCGTTTTCCAAGTGGGGCAAGATTGTCAGCAGAACCCTTTGCTTGATATACACTTTGTTTATTATGCTTCCAAATGCTGCAGCAGGCTCATAACATCGATCCCTGGTAAATCCTGTATGGACATGAAGTTAGGCCTCATAGTTACATGCAAGGCTACACAGAAAAGTGGCTGAATAAATTGAGAAAAGTGTTTTTGCTCAAATTGTCCAGCTTTACTCCTTCCTTGAATACACTGCCTGAAGATCAAGTAACAGATTATACTAACAGAATATTGTGTTCAGCTGGATCATCATGCCTATGAGTAAACTCTTTCTACTGTTATTGAATTAAATAATCCAATGATCATAGGACTTTTCTGTGTCTAATATAATGCATGGAACTATCTTCATATAAATTCTTACCTTAATGAAGCTCTGAAACTGGGCCAAAAGTAAGTCTTTTGCCTGAGTTTTACTGAGTTTTCCATCTGGACCTGTGTGATTATTAAATATTACTGCTATTGTTGCAACAGATTTCTCCAGATCTGTGCAGTTCCTGAGTGCTGCAAATAATTAAAAATACGCTAATCAGAATGTTTATGTCTTTCAACAAGTCATTATCTGCAGCAAGTAACTGAACATGTTTCTACTGAGAATGGTACAATGATCCTTAATTGTATAACCTATTATTTTGAGAAGTTATCACCTATTTCAGCAAGTGTAACTGTTTTCTAATATTTATAGCCAACTTCTCATAGTTGATAGTCCATGGAAAATAAAAGCAGGAAAGTAAACATGATTCTTGAAATGATATGAATGTTGAAAATAATAAAAAGGAGGAAACAAGACAGAATGTAGCCAATGGTTTACCCTACTAGGAGATTGGGACATCATAGCTATTACAGAAACTTAGCTGAGGGATGGACAGGGCTGGCAACTCAATGTTCTGGGTTTTAGATGCCATAGGAAGGATAAAAATGGGAGGCAATAGAATAAGGGGTGTGGCATTTTTGATTAAGGAAAACATTACTGCTGTATCTAGAGAATATATTTCGGTAAAATTGTTCAGTGAAAGTATTTGGGTTGAAATTAGAAATAAGTAAGGAATGATCACCTTGATGGATTTGTATTATAGGCCTCTGACTAGTCTAATAGTCAGAGGGAAATTCAGGAAAACATATCTAGAGAAATCTCAGATATATGTAAGAATAATAAGGTTGTAATAATAGGGGATTTTAATTTTCCAAACATAGACTGGGATTACCATAGCGTTAAAGGTTTGGATGGTGAAGAATTTGTTAAATGTATTCAAATGGATTCTTAGACAATGATTTTTATATGCCCTCATAATACGTGTAACATTAAACACACTTTATTATGTAGCTTCCAGTGACTGTTCCAAGCCCTGGCTATATCCAAGATTTTGTCACTCAGTTGCAAGTAACAAGTGAATTTCAGCCCAATGTATTTTCCGACTTTTAGCTTTACTCAAATTATTACTTGTTCTTGGATTGATGGTATGGGGTTACTGTCCATCCTAGGTGCCATCACTTTCACCACCAGTTTCGTACAGGATAAATTCAACATCTTTCCAGTGTCTTGTTGTATGTTGTGATTGTATCACTATCTTCATTAGGTCCTGCAGTATATCCAATCTAGTTAATCGCTCTTCCCAGCTTTGTGGCATTTTTGGATCTGCTGTTAGTTTGGGAAAGAAATTTAACACACAGCTCTCGGCTTTGAGTCTGAACATCAGGCACGTTAAATATAATATCAAAGCAGGGAGCTGAGGGTTAGGAGCCTGGATCACTCAGATGGACCTTTAAACAGCCGAGCAGTCCATTCATTTGACGCAAACATAAGGATCTTTGGCTATGAGAATGGGGATTGGAGGACCCCAATGCTAAATTTGTGTAGAACTCCCCCTAGTTGAACTGATCTCATGCATTCCAAGTAACAGGCTTGAAAGCAATTATTGGTGACTGTTCAAAAACAGACTACAAGAATGCTTTCTATCTTACATTTTTGTGGTTGCAGAGGAGCAGGAGTGTACTAACTGCATATCTGTAGTGGTGCAGTGTTTTCATGCACTATCATTTGAGATAATGCTCTATACTAGCCACTCCTAATGTTAACAATGTAAGTATTTAACATTTTAAAAATTAAAAAAGCAGCATTTTTAAGGTAAGTTTTGCAGTACGGTGGATATCATCAAAACTTCTTTGTTTTCTCTGACTGAAGAACATTCAGCAGGAAGTATGCATAATTTACCAAAGAATTTCCATCTCCATCGATTTAAAAATTCAATAACATTTAAGAAATGCTTTCTATTTAATGTGACTACTTATTTCTTCAACAAGAGGGAGATGCCGTTGTTGCTGGAAATTTGAAATTTAAGAAGTGGAAACACTCAACATGTCAGGCAGTATCTATAGTGAAAAGCAGAGTTCATGTTTCAAAGTGATAACTTTTCAGGGGAACTGGAGATGAGAGATGGAAAAGGCTTTCTTCACAATGGTTCAAAACTGGGAGCATCACTTTCTTGCTATATACGACTCAGGTTAAACTATAACGTAATTGAGTAGACTCGAAAAAGGCACTAACACAGTTTGCAAACAGCAGGCTGCCCATTATTGTTTTTGTTTGTTTCAAAATATCAGTACCATGCCTCAAGGCAGTACATTTTTTTTAGAAATGTTTCCTCTATTTTAGTTCACATGCAATTTTTTTAGTCCAATGTCAAAGATTGTGTAGACTTGTCCCTTTCTGTTACTATGTTCTTGCTGCTGGAAGGTACAACTGCTGAAAATTGCCATGTTTAGTGCTACAATTGAATAATCACAGAATATTTCTTTACCAACCCTCTCTGAAGTAAAAAGTATGCACTCTAACATCCTCAAGACATTAATTTATGCCGCAAATAGGTTGATCTGGTTTAACAAAATCAAGGATGACTTATAGTTTGATGTATTGGGTCTCAGAATATATTCTCTATTTTATGATCGCAGATTAAATAGGCAAACAATTGAAGTTAGTAAAAAGGCAAAGAAAACAGATAAAATGGCTTCAGTGGTAATCTATGACCTTTTATGGTTCTAGTGCAACTAGGTGCATTTGGTGTGCTGTTTAATCCATGGAGGATATGGATTTAGAATGTTATTTGTTGAGCAGGTTAAGCATAAAGTCAATATGAATACTGTGGTGGTTAGAAGAAAGCCAGTTTGCATAAAATGAACAGAATGTAGAACCACATGCTTACCTTTGACAGGAGACATCTGCTTCTTAACTGATGTTCTGGAACTATAAACATAAAAGAAGTTTGAGATTTAGTAATTGGCCATTTGCCACTCTTGTGCTAGAAAAGTGAAAATGCAATGCAACTAAGTAATCAATTTAAGTGTTTGGATTCTGTGCTGTGATAAAATCCAAAGCATTAATCTGCTGTAACTTGAAACAAAGGGCCTAAAACTACAAGACAAGCCCTGACTTGCTTTCATTTTGCAGAGTAATGTAGCTTTTGAGCTGTTCGATTTGCAATTAAAGACTGGACCAGATTTTCTGTTCCATATTTATCGGCACACATCTGAAGAATTCAAATGCACAAAATTCAAATGTGTGGCAGCTGTTCATCAGTGTACAATGACCTTAGAGTTCCAAATGGTGTCCATTCTGGTGTGAGCAGTGACAGATGTCATATTGACGGGAGTTAACACATGTATACTAGTTTGCAATGCAGGGTGACACCAACAGTACAGGTTCAATTCCCTTACTGGCTGAGATTACCATGAATGTCTCGCCTTCACAACCTCGGCCCTTGCCTGAGACGCGGTGAACCCCAGGTTAAACTCACCACCAGTTGTCTCACTCTAATGCGAGAGCAGCCCTCAGGTCCTCTGGGACTATGGTAACTTTATCTTTACCTTAGTGAGTATCTACTGGCTGTATGCAGTGTGGACAGATTATGTCACCAATCAGCTTCTAATGTCAATTTGACACAAGCACTAACACTTTGAAGTTCATCATTCCACAGGTGGCACGGTGGCTCAGTGGTTAGCACTACTGCCTCACAGTGCCAGGGACACAAGTTCGATTCCACCCTTGGCTGACTGTCTATGTGGAGTTTGCACAGTCTCCCTGCATCTGTGTAGATTTGCTCCGGTTTCCTCTCACAGCTCAAAGACGTGCAGGCCATGCTAAATTAGCCATTGTGCCTGGGATGTGCAGTCTAAGTGGATTAGTCATGGGAAATGCTGGGTTACAGGGATGGGGTGGGTCTGGATAAGATGCTCTTAGGAGGGTCGCTGTGGAATCGATGGGCCGAATGGCCTGCTTCCACACTGTAGGGATTCCATGAACACTTGAGTTAATGGTATCTCTTAAACATACGCAATTTAACATGTATTCAACAACAGATGGGACACTGCCAACATCACCCACCAAGTTATTTCAAGGGATCAGCAACTTATTTCAGGCTGATTGCAGACTTATTTCTAATGAATATTATACTATGATTGTACAATAGCTTGGTGTTTTCAAGTGTTTCTTAGACTTAATAAAGTTTGAGTCATTTGGCTGATGCTGAAGGTTTTTGCAAAAATAGTTTAAACATTTCCCTTGGAATAGAATATGGCTGGAAAAATAATCAAAAGGCACACAGAGCAGAGTAAGCTGCTGTAGGAGGGAGGAGGCGGATGGGGAGAGAACTGTCTGTGGGGAGCATATCTGTCCAAGTTATTCAGTTAGCAATTCTCCTAGTTGAACGTCAGTAAAAAACAATGTGTCTTCACTCCACTGAGGGCTTCCTCAATGAAACCAGTTAGCTGCTGCAGCCATAACTACAACCTCAGAACAGGGTGGGGGCTGCATTGGCAGTGGATATGACAGTACCATGGATATAATTTTGATGTGCCTTTTCAACCAGCTAAAGGTTTTTGCAACTTCTCGCAATTTGCCATCCACCATTGTACGAAGGAAGTCAGTAAAACTTTCTATTCAGAGTGCTGAATATATTTCATTATATATTTCATTCCTAGAGCACCACAAGTACAGAGTATTGTGAGAATTGCAGGTATTCCCATGGTGCAGGGTGCCATTTATATTGTTTTGAGGGTGTTGCATATGAACTCTAAGATGGACTTTGGGATACCTCTCCTTCAGAACCCAGCTGGTGTGTACTATGTATTATTCGGATCAATTGCTGGTATCCTGGCAGCTGTACTCTGTGGCAGCTTACTGTGCCATCGGTGTTTGAACCATGTGACAGAAACTGGTTATTGGACAACTAGAGCTACTCACTGATGGTATGGTCGATGACTCTGGTGGAAAACCACATACACATGTGAGTTGTGCTGTCACAGCAAATATGTGGATAAGTCCCTCGGGATGCTAAAACAATGGGTGGAATCTAATGCTCCACCCAGGAGTGGAAAATGAGGCAACAGGGCCATTTATTTGAGCAAGGGGTAAAATGTCAACTTCCCCATGACAGGATTCAAGTTGGGATGGATTTAAATTGTCAGCAGACTAAAGATAGGTCATGGTTCCTGGTGGCAAGCAGGAGAAGTCTATTTTAATTATTTTTTACATTTAACCTTTTTCTAATCAATCTGTTCAGAGATGTTAATACACACCTCTTGAGCAGGTGAGACTTGAACCCAGGTCTCCTGGTGCAGGGACACTACGACTATGATACAAGAGGACCATACATCTATTTTCAATGCATTAACATGTCATGAATATTCATTAAGACAAATGGGTGGCAGGTTAAGTAGGCAGGAATTGATAAACACTCCTTCAGATTCACAGTTGGATCAAAGGTGACATATAGCTGGTGAGATTGCCTTCCCAGGGTTTTGAAATGAGTAGGAAAAGCCTTTATTGGATGGGGTATCTTTTTGGACTGGTGGTAGGGAGACTGCTGTTCAGGGAGAACAGGAATGTCAGTGCAGGAGAGAGTAGTGGCTTTTCAGGGAAGTCAGGAGGGAGTTGGATAGTACTGATCCTAAGAAGAGTCCTGTGTAACAGAAGAAAGAAGTGGAAAGACACAGAAAATGTTAATTGCTACTGATGAACTGATCAAGAATGTTCGACAGTAGATCCAAGGTGATTGAGGGAAGATGAGTAATGAGGTTGGTAGAGTTGAGGGTAGCCAAAACAGCAGAAGGGCAGTAGAGAAAGGAATGAGGATGATGGATAGCAGGTTGAAGATGGCAGGGCAGGTCCAGGGTGACAGGGGTGATGAGGATCAAGTTTGACCATGTGTGAGTCACCAAAAGTGGGGCAAGGCGTGATGATGAAGAGTCACGATGATGGTTTGCAACTCCAGTGTCAGAGTGGGGGTGTCTGGGGTAATCATTATGGCCATAGATCAGGTAGAAGAGGGAGGAAGAAGAAGAAAAATGGCAAATTGGATAGTCCTTCCTGGCTGTGCCATGGAGGATTCTGTCTTTGTTTTATTGTTTGGGCCACATTGCAGGCTGTAGCCTTAATAATGGCCACTTTAATGAAGACAAGCACTGTCTTCCCCATCCAGGTCAAAGCAGACAACAGGCCTGTTCCCATCTAGTTAGCTCCAGCTCCCTCTGATTATGCAGCAATTTGTCTTGAGAAAGATAGTGAAGGGTGTCAGTGAGTGGGTTGCAATATGTTTGACTGATGTGGCTGCCGTGGCTGAACAGCTGGATGTGTGTACAGTTCAAGGCTGCAGCAATGTTAAGCGAGTGTGGGTAAGGTAATGCAATGAATTTCGGATGTAGATCATGACTGATAGAGGTTGTTGCTAGGTGAATATTTAGAAGATGATGCATTTAGCAGGAGGTGAATTGCACATCAGAACATTCCCAACCTCTGACCTGCTCTTGTAGTCAATGTTTTTATGGATGGTAATTATATTTCTGATCAGTTGTGAGCCCACAATGTTGATATGATGAATTCAGCAGTTGTAATGACATTGAATATCATGGGGAGATGGTCAGATTCTTTATTGTTGAAGATGGCCATTGCCTGATACCTTGTGGAGCCTGTTCCTTGCCACTAATCAGCCCAAGCCTCAATATTGTCTAAGCTTGTTGCGTATGGACATAGAAAGCTTTCGTATGTGAGAGTCACAAATTGTTGTAAACATTGTGCAGTCATCAACAAACATTCCCATTTCTGACCTTATGACAGAAAAAAGATTGTTGATGAAGCAACTGAAGATGATTGGACCTACAACATTCCCCTAAGGAACTCCTACAGAGGTGTCCTGGAACTGAGATGATTGCCTCCAAAAAACTCAACCATCTTCCTTTTTGCTAGGGATGACTCCAACCAGTGGAGTGTTTTCTCCGATTTCCAATGACTCCAGTTTTACTAGAGCTCTTTCATGCAATACTCAATAAAATGCTGCCTTCGTATCAAGGGCCCTGGGTGGTCCTGAAAGAATCTAACAGAACATCAGTGATTAGGTTATTGGTGAGTAAGTACTGCTCTTTGGCACTACTGATAATATATCCCATCATGATCAAGAGTAGATTGATGGGGTGTTAATTGGCTCTAATTAACTTGCCCTTCTTTACGTAAACAAGGAAACTACCTGGACAATTTTTCACATTGTTAGGTAGATTGGCAGTGTTTCAGCTGTACTGGACAAGTTTGTATAAGGATGAGGTTAGTTCTAGAACATAAGGCTTCAATACTGCAGATGGGGTGTGGTGTCAGAGCCCATAGCTTTACAGTATCCAATGCTTTTAGCCATTTCTTTATCAAGTAGTGTGATTACATGATAAAGTGTGAATGATACTGGGGATCTCATGACGAGATGGACTTTGAGCATATCTGGGCAAGATCTATTAGGCCTTGGAGGGTATACAATGTAAGTTTACAAAAATGATACTTGGACTCCAAGGATCAGGTTATGAGGTGAAATTATACAATTTTAGGTCTGTTTTCTCTGGAACTCAAAGGTTAATGGGTGATCTAATCAAAGTGTTGAACATATTAACAGGAAAAGACAAGGTTGATGAAGATAAACTATTTCCATTCAGTTAGGAACTCGAGAACTAGGATGAAAAATATGAGAATTAGGACCAGGTCATTCAGGAGAGGTGTTAGAGAGCACTGAGTGTGGTAGACGTTTTGAACTCTCTTCCACAAGTAGCAGTGGATGCTGGATCAGTTGTTGATTTAAAATCTGAGATAGATATTTTTTGCTAAGCAAAGGATATGGGCCAAAGGCAGGTTTATAGAGTTAGGCCACAGATCCGCCATGATCTCCTTGAATAGTGGAACAAGATTGAGGAGCTGAATGACCTATTCGTGTTCCTGCAGTTCCAAATGCTCCATCCTTGTCTTCTGCACTGAAATGCTGTACCCCTCTAACACTGAGGTCAGGATGTTCATGGAGCCCTCTTCTTCACTTTGTTGTGTAAATGTCTACAATTATTTATCAGATGTGTCAGAATTGAAGAGGTTTGATGGAATCAGTCGACAGTGTGGTTGCTCTGCCACAGGCCAACAATACAAATCATGTCAATTTGTTTAATTTCATCAAATGCACCTGATGCTCTTGTGTTTAGAAAATCCACATAGCCATTCACTCCACGTCCCAGAAGAAAAGCCAAAGATTTGGGAATAATGAAATGTACGTTGCCTCTAACAAAAAAACTCTGTGTTTCATGTTTCCCACTCGTCATTAATATTATATATATTGACATGGTTGTAATTTGGCGTTTGTATAGATTTGTACAATGAATTTTGAACTGCAGGTATTGCTAATTGTGAATACAGACAATTACTACTTGAGGATAATACAAGTTCTGATTTCAATTATTTCAGTTTTAAATATTCTTAGATTTGTAAGCTAGGCGACCATAATGCAATTAATTGAAGGAAATCTGAATTCATACCATTTGGCCATCCTGATGCAGTTGAAGCCGTCCTCTTGCACAGACTGCAAACCACTGCTTTTACTGTACCACAATCTTCTCGACAACACTCTGCATTATGAAACCTAGTCTATGGCAGCTCATGCTTCAATGGTCATTTGCACACAACTCCAATCAATTACTCTCTGGCTGTCTCTAAAAGAAATGTTTGTTCAGCAGATGACAGATCTTGATGAATCTCAGTGAAATTGCTGTTTTGCAATACTATGGGTAGTGTTGACTGACAATGTTTGGGAACAAATCATTTGCTATAAACAGTGTTTTAACTCACTCAGAATCAACAAATATGGAAATTCCTTTCTACGTACAATTCAATTTATCATAAAATATAGTGAAAGATTTTATTGTTGTTCAAATCAACGTTACCTACTGAGGGTGTGACTTTTGCTATTCACTATAAACACCAAAGAACCTATGAAGTCTCGGTGAAAGGCCAGTTTAAGGTAACATGCCATTTTGGGAAAGGAGTTGAAGCTAGATGTCAGGATTTGGTGTTTAGCATATTGGTAAACAGTTGACTGCCATTACTATGACGTTGCCCTCATTAAAAAGGCTGCAGAATATTTTGGTGAGTATTTCAACCAATACTTTTTCCATGAGGGGGCGTGTCTTGTGGCCCAAGTTCACATCCCACCTGCTCCAGACTCCAGCAGTGTGTCATAACATTTCTCATCAGGTTGGTTGGAATATTTGTTGATAACTTAAACACAATTGTTATTAACAATTATCCAATCAATCAGGATGACAGTGCAAACAATATGATGGGTATTTTGTGTTCGATCAGAGTTTAAAGCAGGATGGCTCCACCTTTTGGTCAGACAGTCCAGGTTTGAGTCCTACCTGCCAAAGAGGTGTGTTGTAACATGCCCAAATAAGTTGATTTAAGAATAATTTATAATACACAAATCAGAATCTTCTGGGGTGGTGGCAGTGTTCTTATTTCTAGGGTAGAAGGTCTGTGCTCAATTCCAACCGTCCTGGTAGTGTGTCATAGCATATCTGAACAGATTGATTAAAAATAGATTTTTATAACACACTCTTGTGGGACTCCTGTAGTGTAGCAGTTGTATCCCTACCTTTGGGGTGGGAAGTCTAGGTTCAACTCCGACCATTTTTGGACATGCGACATAATGTGTTTGAGCAAGTTGATTCATAAAATATGTGTCACACGATAGTTACAGAGCCACAAACATACAACTGTGATAAATAATGATTATGAATCCAGAATGAGCAGTACACCTGGCATGCACAAACTTCATCTTTCTTTTATCTTCTCAGTGATTTACGTCTTCATAAGTTTTCTACCCAAGAGTGTTAAAAATGGGTCTATACTCAGAAGTTTCACTTTTTTGCTTGCTGCACTGGCTTCCTTCAGAAACATACCCTTCATAGCCTTTTTCAGAGATGAATCTGGGTGTTATATTGATAGACTTGATTAATAAACATTTTAAATATAAAATATTCAATGGTGTGTCAAATTCTTTATTTAAACGATGGAGTGAAAGCACACTCTTGCATTGTCCACCTTCTTTGAGTTTCTATAGCCTTTTCACATAATTCTACTCTTGATTAACCAGACTTTTACATCACATTTCTTTGACTAATCACACTTTATTCCCTGTTATCAATTCGACAATTCCATCACAACATCAATCTTTCGCATTCAAACTAACTTCCAGGGGTTTCATTGTTTGGATTTGTCTGTTATTGGTTGTTTAGCTATTCATAAAACCAGTTAATAAGCTATTTATAAAAACGATCTAGTCTGTACTGATTCTTTATCAGACTATTGTATTAGGGAGTAACTCAAAGTTATTTTTGCATCTCAGCAAGGTTAACTGAAAATGCTAACACAGTTTTCAAGTATGATTAAAGTTTGTGTAGTTTGCAAACAACAGGAGTTATTCAGATAGTGTACCTTTTATTTTCATTGTGGTATGGTTACTGTGCTTGTAACAAGAACTGTGTTGTGACTGTGCATGGTTGGTCTCTTTATAAACACCACTATTTTTCCCTTTCCTTTGCCCCTCTTCCTACTTGCCATGTTCCACTTCTCTCTCCTGACCCTCTTGTTACTGTTTCTCATCTCCTGCTCACTGCCCCTGACCTGCCCATGTCATTTGGAACAGAAACCAGAAGGACTCATAGACAAATCCTGGGAAGAGAAGCGCAGCTCTCCCTCTCAGATGAACAATGAAACCTATTCACTTTAAGATATGGATACTTTAAGGCATGTGAAAAAACAAACACAGAAAATAAGCTAAACAGAATATACTAAGATTTATTGCCAGTGCTGTGGAATAACATAGCCTTACAGGCACAGGAAATGCCTAGTTGTAATAAAGGAATGCTACATCTGAAAACCATAGGTCACTTGTAGAAATTGTGCAGACATGGCTCACAGTTACAGAGAAACAAAAAAAGCAAATGGTTACTTTTGCAAAGAGGTCAATGCAAATGGTCTACCACTGTTACAAAACACTGTTAGAAAGTATATTAGGCAATATACTTCCAACGGAAGAGATAACAGATTCATTCCTAGGAGAAATTATCTGTCGTCCAGATGATATTATGGAACAACTACCTGAGCTACAGAAGCATTCACCTCCAAATAAGATTTTAGAGAATAAGCATCTTCCAAATAAGGTAATAGACCGACTACGGATTTACCAGGAAAGACATGCTCCATGAAGAGCACCCAAGAGTAAAAGTTCCTCAGCAGATAAATGATCTGCATAGGTTCAGCATCAAGTTCAACAATCCTCAAACTGAACACCCACCAATCTTCAAAGTCAAAATGAAATACATTCTGGCAAATTGTGAAACTTCCACATCACCTACACTCATGAAGTCAGAGACTTGATGAGAGGTGGGGTAGTGATAAATGTAAAAGTAGTTTAAATATATGAATGTTTAATTGTGAACAGAGGGGAAAAGCTTGGCAGAAATGTTGTGTAAGGTAATGGTTCTGAGAGAGTTACTGTTGAACTGTATTGAGTACATCAATCTAATGAAGTCACAAAGTGGATAAACAGTTTCTTGCACAAAGGACCGATGGAGGATAAAAAGCGGTTTCTAAAAATTGTACTTAGACATAACTAATTAAAGTCAATTAATGTCTATTTACCTCAGACAAAGTGGATACTGAGGGCCAAATTGGTTAGCCCGAGAAAATCAGTGTGCTGATGAGTGATGCGTGATCACCCATGTCCACGTTCATTCGATGTAATGTAAGCTGTTTGACATCTCTCAGCTGCCACCTCATTTACAGGATGACTGCAGGCAGCCAGCATTAATGGCACTTGAAGTAACATACCAGCAGGGAACCCAAAATTGTTACTTGCCTGTACTGTTTGAAGCAGTACTTCCAAAACTATTTTCTAATATGATCCCATTTTATCACGCTTAAAAATTTATATGATCCTGGTGCCAGCAAAAACAAAAGAACAATAAAGTAGCATAATAAAATGCAGTACATAATCATTAAAGTTAATACATTATAGATAAATAATAACACAGGTGTCATAAAAATATGATATTCTGAGCTTTTACTATAATTATTGAAAATGTTATTATTTTATATATGGTTGGAGGATAGCTAAGCTCTCCATATAATTTATTGATAGAAAGCTCAGTCAAGCCCTTCTCCCTCACACATTGTAATCAACCATGTGTGCACACACACACACACACACACACACGCACACACACACACACACACACACACACACACACACACTCTTGTCTGGCTGCCAGTACCTGTGAAGCACAATTGACATTCTGCAGTAGGGAGTCTGTACAACAGGCAGACAGGAGCAGAAGCATAACAAAGTTTCAAGCTGCCACTCTCCTTCCTGGTTTGGTTGCATGACCTCTTGCTTTCTCCTGCACTCAAACACAGGTAGTCATTACTGTACCAAGTCAAGTGCTCACTTGAACTCACCACTAGACATACTTTCCACAGTTGTACGCGCTTTGGGTACTCTACCTGCCTCTCACTATTTAGGGGCAGAAATTTAGTCAGTTCTTGTAGCATATGCTAGAAAAAAAATTCATGGACCAATGGTTTTGACCACTAAAGTTAGAGAAAAATGTTGAGAAAATGAGGCTTAACATAACTATAAAAGAATTCCAAAATAGTATTCCAATAATCCTTAAGACTTATTTAGATGAGAATCACCACCAAAAACCAGAGAAGCACAGTTCTATGACCTATGCCATATCACACAGACAGCATGGGGCAATGGTCGTATGAGAATCAATATTGAAACGGGAGAAATAGAAATCTGGGGATGAGAAATGTATTACTTATAGAAAACAAATGGAAGGATACCAAACTGGTAAGGAGGAAGGGTAAAACCAGATGTGATAATGCATACATTCTGTTAAGACTGGACATACTAGAGCTCATTGCTGGAAATTAAATGGGAGACAAATTGCAGTCATAGGAATAACTAAGGAATTCTCAGAAAAGGGTGTATTGAAAAAAAATGTGTATTTAATCTGCAGCATGTGAAATGTGTTCCCTCAGATCCTACTAAGAAGGTGGAGATGGCTCCAGACAATATAATAATTTGTTCTGTGGTCATACCTAAAGAGATTCAGCCCATTGGCAGTTCTAAATATTTCTTTTCAAAGGGAGAGGTATTCCCTCATTCTTCTAATCAGGTAAACCAATAAACATATTGAAAGACACTGGAGCAAGTTAGTCACTAATTCTACGAACATATGAACAATGAGCAAGAGTAGGCCACTGGCCTTTCAAGCCTGCTCCACCATTCAGTAAGATCATGGTTGATCTGCTTTTAACCAAAATTCTAATTCCTGTACATCCCTAATAATCGTTCACCTGCTTGCTAATCAAGAATCTATCTACCTCTGCTGTAAGAAATATTTAAAGTTTCTGCCATCACAGCTTTTTGGGAATAGGAATTCCTTGCCTGCACATCTTTGAACTGTGGGAGGAAACCAGAGCACAAAGAGAAAACCCACGCAGACACAGGGAGAATGTACTAACTCCACCCAGACAATTGCCCAAATGTGGAATCAAATCTGGATGCCTGCCACTGTGAGTACTAA